ACCGTATCTTTAATTAAAAGTTCTAATTTCAATTAGCTTATCTGAATTTGATGTAACAAAAGAATATGAAGTAGAAAAACTTTTTCTTTGATTTTTTTAAAAGAAGTGTCATACTATTTTTAACTACTTTTCAACTTGAAACAATAGGCAATTAGTGAAAAACTAGTACTTACATGCTTTCGGTCCCTTCTTGTCACAATTTTTAGTTATATAATATTTACTTCTCCAGGTTTACAATATTCACCTTCTATTATGTAATACTAATTTGCATAGTTGTTTAGTATTAGTGAAGTTACATACTTGAAACAGGAATGGAACTTCTGTGAAGGCAAGATGAGCTCATTGCAGTGTTCACTGTTTATCCAAAGGCTCTAGCAGAGTGTTTGGCATAGATTAGGCACCAGTAATTGTGCTGTTGAAGAAATTATTTTACTAGTGTTTCACTTCCTGAGTTATAAATTTTAATTTCTGTCCAAAACAACTAGATTTCATGATTGCACATTTACAAATAAGTGCTATATATAGGTTTTTTTCTCTCCCAAGAAAAGCTCTGGCATGTTTGAAAATAACTGCCTTTTGCCTGTATGCTTGAATTACATCTTTATTGAATATTATTCTTTGGTCCTAATTACCCCAGAAATTCTGTACACACTGGCCATTATGTTCTAGAATCAGATGCTCTATTGATTTTACTTTGTAAAATCTGAATACTGATTTGTGCAATGAACTGCAGATTCTTTTCAATACTAACGATCATTGCCTTTGTATCACAATTTTTTATTGTAAATGTCTAGCCAGTTTTCATATTCATTGCAAAAGTTAATTAAAAAAACTGACACGCCAATTTTTTAAGACATTCTTTAACAGATCAACAGTCTGTAAGCAACTTCTACTAAATACTATGTGCTGCACAAATATAGATGACCAATGGACCCTATCCTCAAGAAGCTTGACTTATAGTACAGATAAAATAAAAACATGCTGCTACATTACAAAGTAGAAGGAGATGTCTTTAAAAACTAAACACAGTGCTTGATGTTCTGAGAGAGTAAGTAGCAATTACCCAGAGGAATGAATGAAATGAGCATTTACTTAAGGCCTGTTATTTGGCAAGCAATAAAGAGCCTTTATTGATATTGTCTCCTTTGATCTTTAGGAAACCTCTGAAGAAAACTATCATTGTCCCCATTTTAACTGACACAAAAAATGAACTTAATTGCCTAATACCACACAAGGAGATCTGAGATTTGAACTCAGTTCTGTCTGATTCCAAAGCTCGCCTTCCTTACATTATATGACCTGTTGCAAAAGTGAATTAGAGAAGGCCTGATCAATAAAGTGGCACATGACCAAGTAGCTTGATGACAGACAGCTACTACAGTGGGAGTAAGAGCTGCAAATTACATCTGGTATTTTCCTCAGTGGATGGATAGGTCGATGTTAAGTCTACTGTTAAAGAGTTATTCTTTCTTTATTTGGAGACTCAGTTCTGGAGACAGCCATTATCAATTCAGGAAAGAAACTCCAAGTAATTTTGTTCTTGAGTTTTCTGGGATTTTTTGGGCCTTGAATTTTATGTTTTTCATCATCATCTTTTTGCATGGATGCACAAGCAGTAAGTCTTTCCTGTGCTAAGCCTTACTCCTCTCAGGTATTTCTAGAATAGTAGAAATTCTCCAAAACACCATGAGAGATGTGAAGCGGTGGTTTTCAAAGTTAATTACAACCCACTAGATACTTTAGGGCATTAACATTCTTAGAAGGACAGAACAGAAATTGCAGAGAGCACTGCATATAGTAAGTACAGCTCCATGACACTTGCACGCATGTTTAAATATGTAAGTTTGTGTTAATGGTGATGGGCTATGATGTAAAATATACTGCTGATAGTAAGAAACATTAAATACTAACAGGATCTATTTATAAATCAAGTATACTTCCTTTTACATTTTTGATGGTGTTTGGAAAGCTGGCTATTGTAATTTGATAAGACATACATCGAACAAGCTCAATGGCAGTATGTTCTACTGCTTTTCCCATCTATTTCTGCTAATCAAACTTGTTAACATATAGGGTACACTATTCCAGTCAGTTCTTTTATCAACTGTTCATTCATACTCACTGGCATTTTGTCCACCCCATCATAGGTGTCTCTGGCTTCCTAGTCAATTGTTCTTCTCTTAGAGGTAAGAGTATTGATACCCACCACACCAGTTTAAGATTTTCTTATTGTTTATGAATGTATCTTACTGCATTGTAGCCACACAAATACACAATGCTAGGCTTTGTTATATGTTGTATTTCTTACCTGTTACACTGCAATCTTACTTTTTCAACTTCTTCAAGGTTTTCTTTAATTTTGTGTTAATTTTTAGCACTCCCAAATGTAGTTCAACAGTACGAGTCAAGCATCACTGTCAGGCTTATCAGTTATAAGGCCTAACAGTTCTCATAGCTGCACCTTGCTCTTCCCTAGATAATATGTTTCTGTCATTGCTCTCCTCCTCTCCAAACTTACCCTGTTCATCAAGGCTTAACTCACTCCATACAGTCTAACTACCTTCAGTGCGACTGCTCATTACCTTATCTGAATGTAGCTAGTACTGCATTTCCTCCAAATAGTAAGAACTTAATTATAGGGGACTTCAATTATTTCCATAAATGTGAGCCTGCATGGCCCTTGAGGTAAGCACAGCTCTTGTTTTCTACAGTTGAAAAACCATTAGGAGATGAAAGGTTATTGTCCTGACCTGGTACTGAGGCATCTGAAATAAGCTTTTGGGAAAACAAGACCTCTGATACCCATCCTTTCTCACAGCATGAGTAGTACTACGTAAATGGAAGGCTATCAAGACATCCTGAAAACAATTAGCCTATAATTCATAAGTTAGTACATGTCAGTAAGATAAAAAATATGCACCCTAGTGCTTCAGATGGTCCATTACAAGGACATTTCATTTTTATAAACCTTAGATCAGTACCATTTATATAAATACAAATATAAATACTGGATAAAAAATTGTGGCTGATTACAGCAAAAGGTCACGAATAAGAGATATTAGTAGGTAGCTGTAAAATGGCTTTGTACAGTATCACGTATCAATTTGGGTAGAAGTTGTCACATTGTTGCTGTATTGAAAAAGGCAATCACAAGGGGAGGGATAATCTAGAGATATATGCTAAAGCAATGCATGAGAGTAACACTAAATCAAATGCTTAAAAGTTAACCAAATGTACAGTAAGCATTCCTCAGTAAATTTTTCATAATTTAAAATGCCAACAAAACTTGACTCAGATAAAATTATATGAATACAATTTGAGCTCTTTTTAATTTTAATTCTTTAGCATCAGCACACACTAATATTGTTATGCACTAGATTTGCATCAATATGAACTTGAGGACCAGAGATTTAGCTCAGTGGTTCTTCCACCTGCTTTGCAAGCTCAAATACCTGAGTTCAATCCCCAGTATCAAAAACAACAAAACAACAAAAAATGAAGTTGAACTGATAGATCAATTTTGATAGGAGGGAAAAAAAAGCACCTCCTGGGTGGAAATTATCTCCAGGAAAACCCTAAGCAAGTGAAAAACACTCGACCACATCAGTACTGTATTTAGAGAAATAAAGAGGGTTAAAATTTTCCCAACTCCAAAAACAATAATCTCAGCACTTGAGAGCATCTTGAAAATGATTTAGTAGTACACTTACATTTTAACAAAAACGGATGTCCTTAGTTGTGAATTATTTACAAACACTTATAAAACTGTAGGTATAGTGTGAAAGTCTTTTTTTCAAAGATCTCAGTAAAATATACCAAATAACATGGTGCAATTACAGTATTGATCATCATGTTATTATTCATAGCTGTAATGGTACAACTACACGCACACAGAGCTTACCCATACTTTTGGAAGTCAGAACTGTGAACACACTTCTGTAACAGATCAATACATCAATTCTTTTATTGATCTAGAAACTGTGGCAATGAAAGTGTGAATTACCCATGTAATGGTGTTGTCACCAAGGGACGCTAAGAATAGAACCCAAACCCCTTGACTATCAGGCTAGTGTTTTCGACTAATTGTGCTCCTTTCTACTCATCAGAGAGCATCAAGTGTAAAGGGTTAGAGGAGCGAGGGGACACAAATGAGCCAAGTCTGCGAGGTGGAGACAGCACGGAAGGTCCTCAGGAATCGCTCTTTGACGCTTCCCTTTTGTTCTGGCGGGGCAAGATGAACGCGACAACCACAAACCCCCGGGACCAAGAACTGGAACTAGGTACCATCCGCCGCGGTAACTCTCTTCCCCTCGGTAACCGCTCCTTCCGGCCTGGCCCAGCGCTCAGCCCACCTGCACCCCATCCCCTCGCGGTCCCCCTCCTTCACCCGGCTTTGCACAGCATTGCTCGGGGTCCCGCCCTCCACCTGGCCCTTTCTCCAGTCCTGGGGAGGTGCTGCAGAGGCTCGGAGTGCCAGCAGCTTTTCTCTAGGGAACGAATGGCAGCCAAGAATAGAAATGCGTTTCCAGCGTTAGAAACTCCTGAGCTGGAACGGAGGCAACCAATAAGCCGTGCGTGGGTCTAGGTGTAGCTCGTCACGACAAAGCAAAATTTAGACAATAAACACATTCCGTCTCTCTTTAGCCGGGAGCATCTCCCAGTTCCTCCATCCCCCGGGCAACCACCCGCGGGAAGACGCCCTCCTGAGCGCGGGTGTTTACACTTTTCCAGCCTGGGAGGAGGAGACCAGATATCACTAAACCCGAGGGATTCCAATCCGTTACTCCACCCGCCGGGGTGGGGCCAGCCCAACCGCCGCGCCTGCGCGTTGCGTCCGTCGGCCGG